AAACGAAATTGGGTGAATACATCTCATATTACTGATTTATTGGTAGTCTCGAAACTCTACTTAAATACGAAAAATAAGAATATTTTAGTTAGTAGGTTGAATTCAGGTCCTAGTATATGATGGATTAAACCGATAAAACGGGCATCTCTCTTATTAGCGCCATTATCTTAATTCCCAAATGTTCAGATGAACAATTACTCCTGTTGTGCCAAGGATCAACATCCACATCTAGTCAAGGGTTATGAAGAAGATGGCGTATATATGAAGGAAGGCTGGGTTTGGAGAAATTCCTTAGTTATACTTTCATGGGACCTGAGTATTTATTTCTAGTGAAAGTTGCTCAGAAGAGAAACCCAAAGAGGATTTTCCCTGCTATTTTGTTCTGTGAATTTTATTTAAAAAAATATGGTACTTCTCTGACGATGTGTGTCACGGCGGTAAAGACAAAAGCTTAGTACGTAATGAGCGGGGCCACAGAAAGGTTCGCCGATGGTTACTTCCTACAACTCAACAGTCCAGACTCCAAGGCAATTATCCCACTCAGATTTCAGATGAGACATATTTATTAATACATTACATCCATATTTTCCTTCCACATGAAACAGCTATGATAATCATAACGATTTTGGTTTCTCTTCAAAAATTTGTCAAAAATGGTGATCGTTACTTGTAACTGAGAGCAACCTAAATATCCAAAGAACTTGAACCCTAATCTCTCCACCTTTGTCAGTTCAGATAGTTTGCGACGCAGCGTAATAAGAGCTCATTGGTAGTATCAAAAACTCCGCATTTCGGATGCATAGTATCTTGAATTCAAATATCTCTCATGAGTGCTGGGTTTCCAAGAGTGATGACCAAACTAAACTAGAGGATATAATGAAAATTAAATAGACTTGGGCAGATCTTCATGTATCACGAAAGTCATTTCTTCAGTGCAAAGAGTGTGGCTATAACAACTTTTCGTATTGTAGAGAATTTAAAAATTTTCTCATTGCTTATTAAGACGGCGCTTAGCGATTGGTCCATACTTATGTTTGCAAAAGCATTTTTAAACAAAATTATTTATCATTAATTTATTTGTATTAAACTCTCAACCAATGAAAATGAATATAATGACTTCAAATTGATTTGGGTGGTTAAAAAGGTATCAAGTTGTGATATTTTCATTATTTGATATTCTGTCTCGTCACTTATTAGTAGAGGGATGAATCAAGGGGTCAAAGTAATCATAAGATTTCCAAACAATATTAACTTTGGTAATTTATTAAAAATCATCTACCCAAGGCCTTAATTATATTTGTGCTGGATTGTTGAGGTAAGTATATTCTCCCTTTCGGCAGAATCTTCATTGTGAATTTTGCGTAAGTTCTGATTTCAAGATGTATTACTATGTCAAAATAGTAGGATTATGGCATTCTATCGACCTTCGGACTTCGTTTTATGGATGATCTGGGTCGTCTGTCATGGAGTTTGGCTTCCCCACCCCCCAAAATTATGCCTAAAGTTAAGATTAAGCTTGCATTTCCCTCATGCTTTCCCGCTTTCAGTGCATGATTCAAACTTTTGTTTGGGTTTTTAATTTCATATACGCCATTTGCATGGGCTTTGGCTTCTATTCGATAAGCTTAAACATCTTATGTATTTGGACATGGATGAAAAATTATATTGTTTTTAATGAGTTGCCTAGTTTCTAATCTAAATTTGATTTCAATACGAAACTACCAATTCGACGATAGTTAAGTATGGCCTACTACTAGCCTTAGTACTGATTTCTCCTCGGGTCCAAGTGCCTTTTGGTTGATTGAAATCTTTGCCTAAGTGTCTCTCGTTTATGATATCACCAAGACAGAATAACAGAAATGTTTGGTCCAGTAAAAGTAACAAAGGTGTCGGAGTGCATGGATGATGTGTAGGAATGTGAGAGGCTGTACCCAACATGCAACACATGACCAGTGCACAACCGAGCTCATGTCAGTTGTCCTTTCAATAGCGATGCCCTCTCGGCCCCGGCCATCGCTCGCCTCATCTGCTGGCGTCCAACCTGAGGTGCGACCCGACGAACGTCGGCATCGGAGCGCACCTCAACTCCCACCTCGTCAACCAGGCCGGCTGACCTGCCCATGTCGTGGAAGGTTCGCAGGTTGGTGTGTCCAGCAGTCATAGGAACGATGGGTGGGAATCTGCGATGCTGGAGATGCCACCATACAAGAAGCGCGGCGGTCACACAAGTTGCCAGCAGGAGGATAAAGACGACGGCGACTATTCCGGATACCTGATTGTGGTTAAGTCCGTCACCAACAAGATTGCTGGCAAAGTCTGTCTGAAGGGAAGAGTCTTTTCCGTCAAGGGGATGCGCAAATGTCACAGGAGGACAGAGAAAGGATGAGGTTCAAAGGGTAAATTAGCATACAAACGGACCAAGTTGGAGCTGGAACGTTTAATGCACGACTATAAGACATTAAAATTAAGTTACAATTTGCTTATTTTCCTATTTTATTCAAATTATACGCATTAAAGGTGTAATATCATTCTATAAAACATCTTCAATGAAGTCTTTTTTGCAGATACATTACCGAAGTCATCGAGAGTTCAATGAAAAAGCTGCAATTATGACGCACTTTGTCTCGTTTTCGAGGCTCATTGATAATGGCGACTATGAATGTAGATAAGCTGCTGAAAATGTACCAAGTCTATGATCTAAACTAAAATTTCCATGAATACTGTAGCAAAGGATGAAGGACAGGATATATTTTTCGAGGTCTCTCTGACCAAACAACCAAGTTGTGACGGCATCGTAGTCGGCATAATCAGTAAGCTTTGCCATTCTCCACACCAAGCTATAAAGTCGGCAAAGAGACAACAGACTATAACCGTGACCAAATTAATACCAGTAGCATATTTGATAAGGTTTCGATATGCAATAGACCCTGCTAAACCAGAAGAGGAGATCGAACAAAGACTGTGGGATGTTCAAGAGACAGAACTACAGAGAAAGTCACACATATGCTCCAAGTTAGCTTGGCTTTAGGAAAGCTTTATCCACATTGCGATGTAACTCTCTAGTCCAAAAGGCCTGAGTATTGGTCACTGGCTCATGCAAAGAATTAATCAGGCAATCGTAAAGCTCTACCTACACATAAGCTGACATACACGTTGTATATGTGCATGCTTAAGAGCGCTTATATTGGAGTGGAGATATGCATGAAGATGACTAAAATCCATTGCTTGACTAGGAGTCCAATTCTAGGTTCCAAACCAGACTGATTCTAAAGTCACGTAATATGGCATATCCAGTCCATTTCATTATAAATGCAGAAATACTGTGAAATCTTGTGTATGTATGCGCGTGTGTAAAATTGAGTACTGCAGCTCGTGATGCGATCTTAGAAAAATTAACCTTAACGTGAGGATACTCGGCTTCTTTACAACCTCAACCAGTAACGAAGTAGGAATATTAGAATAAATGGAATAGAAATACCGTATTCACATCAGAACGGAACCAGGCTGGTTGTATAAAGAAAATTGAATTGAATTAATAATACAGTAGATAATGGCTATAATGAGTAGAAGAATCAGTATCCTTCGATGACTGTCGGGGACTCGGGAGCCAAGATATAAGAAATGAGGTACAATAGTTACTATAGCATGCACTTAATAGGACCATTCAAGAGCTGCTATGACTGATAAGTGCTGGCCAGACTTCGGAATCAGATATGGTATAATTTATAGTAACCTGATTGTAATATCTGGCTTTTTATAGAATGGTTATTATTGGGTAAAGAGTCAATGCTCTCCAAATTTATGCTGAAATTGGTATGGCACAGGCTTTAATGATTTCCATTGTAGTCGACGAAGTAACTACTTTTTATTGTGAGTAAGTTTCAAGATTATCGGTAATTCTTGAATAAAACTTAATAACCCTAGGCCGCTTTGTGTGAGTTAGGAAGTGATAGCTTAGTTTTTCCCACAATTATATAAAGTCTCAAGATACAAATGAAGTTTATTTAGCCTTATTTTTCGTCTTTGAGAAGAGTTTTGAGACTACCAGTAAATCAGTAATATGAGATGAATTTACCCTTTTCGTTTTATGTGATGAAGGACTGGTAGTATAATTTCCCCACTCATATCAGTGTGGGAAAATTCTACTTTGAAAAGATCCTCAAATATAGAAGTTGTTTGACATTGTCTTTCACTATTTGGTAAAATTGGCAGTAAGACCTAAAGGAACAGACCTTGTCAGGAGCTCATAGTATTCATGACCATTTCCGGAGTCGGACAGTGGACGTGGTACATTCCCGAACGTTTCGCCGGCAACTTCATTGAGCCTTGCCATCCTTAGCACCATACTACAACTGGTCAAAGAGACAAATGAAATCGATGCTTTGACCGAATGTGTGCTGAACATTTGTGGTATCTCTCCGTCTGTCCTGGGCTATTCACCTCTTCTATATCCTCGTACCACCCATTTAATATCGCAATTTCTTACTTGTTTATCTAAGCCTATTTGAAACCTATTCACACTCCTCACTGGTTTTCTTATCTCTCCCACCGTGCTGGGAGTGTTGATCCAAGGCTACGGTTTAATTCGCTATCCTCTCTCTTCAGGTCCTATCAGAGTCTCCTCTTGCTCTGTGGGATCCTTCCCTTATCTGCCTGTTTCAGTGATTTCATCCATCGCGGCCACCGTATCTGTGCTACTCAAGGCGTTGTTCTACACACTGTCTCCAGCCTTTGATAGCACTTTGGTCGCATAGTAAGGAAAATTAGGATAAATTCCTCAATTTTATAGACCAACTTAACGGAAGAATTATATTAACAATTGGGGTGAAGGAGGATAAACGACTACATTTCCTGGATTTTTAGGTCACTCGCTCCAGCGGAATACTCAAGAGGAGACTATTATGAAAGAAATCATATGCGGGAATAATCCTCAATTCCCAGTTTCTCACAACTACGAACTGAAGATCGGAACAATGAGGAGTATGATCATCAGAAGCTTAAGACTAACGGACACGACAGTTGTTAAGAAAATGGAATATCAAGTTGATTAAAAAGGAAAAAACGCAACACGAGAAGATTGACAAACTGGACTGCTCGGGAATTAAGAGCATCAAATTTGGCAACTATGAGCAGAAGTGAAACAGGAAGAAAAATTGGCCCACGAATGAAGGAACTCCAAAGACTCTACAGAAACATGGACAGTGAAAGATCCGAAATAGCGGAACACATCGCACGAATGGGACATGAAATCGAATGGAAAACGACAGGAAGACTAGCTGCATATGATGGAAATACAAGAAAACGTAAGATACAAGGTGCAATTGGTATCCTGACTGAAAGAAACCAAATTAACAGGAGACTTGAAGAAGGCAGGATTAGCAAACACTTTGCATACTGCCTAAATAAACTCAGTGATCAGGGAACAGCAATATCAGCAAAAAGGAGACTACTGTACAAAGGTAGTTCTTTTAATTTTAAGAAAAGAAATTACCAGAAGACCGCAGAGGAACAATTTTAAACCAGGACTAGACGTCTACACTGAGCCTATTTAAATCAAGTAGAACCACCACATTTTGAGGTCGGCAGAGAATAGAATGTGATAGGAGAGCAAGAGAAACGGTGGTGGCCATTGCTAGTTGCCCATAGACGTGGTCCATGAAGTAAAGACTAGACCACGTCATATGACGGACATCATCAGAGCCAGAAACCATTGTTCACAAAGAAACCACCAAAAAGCATTAAGCGGAGAAAGGTGACCAGTTGAGATCCTATTTAATTCTTATAATTTACTTTGCGATATTACTGAGGAACTTCATGATTTATTATTTTTCGTATATAAGAAGAGTTTCGAGACTACCAATGAATCAATAATATGAGATGTATTCACCTAATTTCGTCTAAGGTGATGAAGGACTGGTAGTAGAAGTTTCCCACAATGATATGAGTAAAGCTGACGTTTCCATTGAATTTCACATAGCCTTGCTTTCCCAAAAGGTGTTCTTATCCAGGCTGGACTGCAGTTTCGGTCTTATCAATACCCCCAGCGGGAGTCGAACCGCGACAGTGCAGAATGGGAGCTTGACACGTTAACCACTCGGCCACACTGCCCTTTAGTCACAGTTCAAATGTGAATTTCAAGGAAGGCCAAACCTTTTGCCATATCATATTCATTGGTGGGATTGTCGATGAAGCGAACGTATATTTGCTATAACAATCGACTGTGTTACTTTTTTTCGTATTTAAGTAGATTTTCGAGACTACCAGTGCCACTAGTGCCCTTGGATTCGAATCACGCTGGGGGTGATGATAAAACCCAGGCGAGGGCGAAACTGCAGTCCATTCTGAATGAGAAAAGCAAAGCCATGTGAAATTTAATGGAAACGACAGCTCTACTCATTCCATTCTGGGAAAATTCTTCTAGCAGTCCTTCATCACCTTAAACGAAAAAGGGTGAATACATCTCATATTCCATCATTTGGTTGGTTGTTTTATACTTGTCTTACATGCACCCCAGCGGGTCAGAGTGATGCAGGAAAGGTAGCGGATGTACCCACAACTTTCGTCTATGTAAATAGACGTTAGTATAATCCTGAGTTTTGCCAAAACTTCGTAAATTCTTGTTTGTATATGTATGCAACAAACCCGAGTTGGTTCAAAAGCAGGCTCCAGCTTGGTCTAGTCATCTCCTCACACTCAGTGGCTCTTCCTGTTCCCTTTCCATCTCTCATTCTCTCTCTCTCTCTCTCTCTCTTTTTCTCTCTCATTCTGTTTTGAAGCCAGATATAGATTTTACATAGTTTCATACATTCTTTCCTCTTACTTAGGATGTTCTTTGTTTTATTAATTTCAATTGACTCTTTGATCTTCCGTTTAGCTTGGTAGTCTCCATATCCGGCAAAACGTTGGGATATAGGCCACTCTATCTGGTGTCCGGCAGATACATCATCTTCAGCCACTTCCCATTTCTGAATCCATAAACCTTTGCAAGCGGTCTGTATTCTGACAGCCTCTTATGTATGGTTCGACAAGTCTCCCCCGCATAAACACTACCACATGAGCACAAAATCTTATAACAGCCTGATCTGCAAAGGGCGTCTGAAGATTCTCTAAAAGAAGGCATAATCGAAGAAAGCGTTACTTTTCTTTATACTGGCATTGGGAACCTGGACAAAGGGTTGTCTATTTCCCTCTTTTGTCTCAAATAATGGTTCCATTTCACTCTATTACTTAGTATTTTGAAATTGTTGACAATTAATCCTACAGGATAATTGTCATCAACTAAGATTTTTCTTAGCCCTTCTAACTCCTGTTCTTGATTATTTTCTTCCGCTAGATGTTAACTCCTTATTATCATTGATTTCATTACCCCTACCCTAACACCAAAAGTATGGTTGGAGAAGAAATTAAGAAGGAAACCAGCATTTATGGGTTTTCTATATACATATATACCCAGTTTATT